AGACACCCTCAGGTGCTGCAGCAGCTCTGAGACATTTCTAAACCTCAGTTATCACCTGGGCAGGGTGGCTGGGGTGGAGCAAGGTCACAGGTTGGACTTGATGATCTCAGAGCTCTTTTCTGACCTGGCCCATTCTGGGATTCTGTGAATTGCTCCCAGCCCCTTTCTCCTTCTCCCTGCAGCTCTCAGGGTGAGATCTGCACAGATCAGGGTATCAGACACTGCTCTGAGCAGGGCTGGATCCAATTCAGTTCCAGCCCCCAGAATTCACCCACAGCGCCCTGGGGATTCCACGCGGAACTCCGAACTCTGGGCAGGTCCTGGAGATGGGGTGCAGGGCTGGGGCCTGGGGCTTCTGGCCTTGCTTGTGTCAAACACGGGTGGGTTTGGAGAGGGGAGAAGTGGGAACACAGCTGAAGGTGATGGGATCAGGGATCCGGGCTGGCCGGGAGCTCTGGGAGCGCTGGAGTCACTCACCCTGCAGCCCTTGGGGCTTTGGGGCAGGAATGCCAGTGCTGGTGGATTCTTGCATCCAAGGAATGCCAATCCTATGAATTCTTGCATCCAAGGAATGCCAATCCTATGAATTCTTGCATCCAAGGAATGCCAATCCTATGAATTCTTTCCTCCAACCCTGCAGATCTACGGAAGAACTTTGAGCAAGACCCCCAGGGCAAGGAGGTTCCCATCGAGGGGATGATTGTCCTGCACTGCCGGCCCCCCGAGGGCGTCCCCGCCGCCGAGGTGAGGTTTGGGGTGGGCACAGGGGCACCAGAAACAGCTTTGGGATGGGGGAAGAATGGGGGAAGCACAGGGCTCAGCCTCTGTGTGGTGCTGGAAGTGTTGATCCTGGTTCTCTTCTCCCCCAGAACGCTTCAAGTGTCCTTTTTTTATTTGCTAGGTTTCCAGAGGTGTGGTTTTTATTCACATTCTGGGCTGTTTGCTGAGAAATCCTGGTTTTCAGACAATTTTCAAGTCCTGTGCTTTCAAACTAAAAGCAGATTGTTGCACATTTTCCCAGGAATTACTTTTCTCCTCGAAAAACAAGACAAAGTAAAAGGCAAACCTAAAAATATTATGATAAATGGTTGCTGGGGAGAGAAAATCTGCTGCAAGTAATAATTTGGTGGGGTTTGGCTTTGCTTTAAACAGGCTTTTTGCTGATGAGAGCTGGATCTTAACAAGAAAACCACGGGGATGCCTTAAAATGGCAATAGCCAGGCTGCTCTTGGAGGGAGAGGTTTGAAGTGGATCATGTTTAAAAATCCACTGCAGGGGCTTTAAAACCCAAGGAAACGTTGAATTTTTAATTGCACCCTGCAGTTCTCTCCATCACCTTCTGGGGAATGGGAGCAGCTGGAGCACTCAGGGGTTGGTTTTGCCCCTTATCCCCAGCGTGGCTGGGGTTGGTAATAACTGAAGGAAGAAAAGGAAAATAAACCCCAGAGAAATGTGTGCTTTTAGTTAATGAGAAGGGATTGGAGCAGATGTCCCTGAAATAAAGAGGAGGAATGCAGAGACACCATCAGTGAGGCAGAAGTGCTAAAGGAGAGGAAAATGAGGCCGAGATGGGCTCAGTGAGTGGCTGGGTCTGTATCCAGGTTTCTGGTGTGCTTTGCTCTGTCAGTCCAATCTCTGCTCCGACCTTCTCCTCAGCTCGGTGGCATTTTCACTCGTTACCAGGAAAATGGATGTTGCATTGCAGGGAATTGCCAGCACTGCTGAATGTGTGCTCTGGAAAACGGTTCTGGTTTGTAGACAAAATAAACCTCCACAGGTGTGGCTCCCCAAACACCCTTGGTCTGACTGAATTTTACTGAGAATTTTAGATTTGTTTGAACTGGCAGCTTTACATTCCCCAATTAAACAGGGAGTCTGTCTTCTGTGGAAGGTAGGAATTATGTCCAATGAAAACCTGACATTTTAATTGCTTGCTCCAGATAAAAGTGGTGGAGTTCCCAACGAACCCTGATTTACTGCTGTTGACAGTAAAATTGTTATTGCTGCTAATAAAGCTGGTAAATCTCACCAGGTCAGATTTGCTTTGGCCAATAAAATGTCCCATAAAGGCTCGGGCTAATTCTGGGCTCATCAAGGTAAAGAGTCTGCTGGAACAATTCAGTGTTTTTAGAAAGTGGGTTAAACCCGTTAAAGCAGGCCTGGCTCTGGGCTGGGGGGATAAACTCGGCTTTATTTCCAAGTTAAAGGACAGCCTGCCCTGATTAACACAGGCTGGGGAATAGCAGCCACAAAGGCTCCCTCAGCGCTTGTTCCGCGGGGGCTGAGCTGTGCCCAGGGCTCCAAACCCCGAGCTGGCAGCGAATCCCTGCTTCTGAGCCAAGAATTGATTTCATTAGAGGTTGGATGCAGCCCTGGATGGAAACGTAAGGCTGGAAGTAACTGGGGACAAAGGACTCGTCTGGTGTTTCAGAGATGCAGAGTGGGTGCTGACTGGGGCACTGTGCTTGTTCCACCCAAAGAGAACTGGAAACAAGGGGGAAGGAGGCTC